ATAGCAGGGAACAAAATTTAAAATTATGTTGCTAATTAATAAAGGTTATTATTTAATTAATCTCTTTTATAAAAATTTCATTGACAATTTTTCAAGAAAGATATGGCATAAGGAAGATAATAGATGGTAAGATGAGTAATTGCATAAGGTTATCTATATGAAAATGACTTAAATCAAAATAAAAAAAAAATCATAAGGAAATTTTTTAAATTGGCGTTCACTTAGCCTACTTAAGCTTGATCACTACTAAAGGCGGAAATAGTAGTCACTTTACTGTAGAAGCACCTAACCATTATCTAGGTGAACCATTATGAAGGAACGGACAATAACAGCCATGCCTTCTCCGGGATTCGAACCCGGACCATTCGGTACCGCAGTAGGCTCCCTTATATCGTCTGGTCGGCGTACTTTAGGAAATAAAAATTTCAAAAATGAATAAAAATCTAACTATAGTGTCCCCTCTTTCGGTTCTATAAAGCGATCCCTTCTATAAAGCTGGTCGTCTTAAAAAAAGGTGAGATTTAATACCAAAGCAACCATTCACGATACCATATATTTTTAATCTCAGAACGTTATTATCTTAGAAATGTAATGTTTAATGCATATGTATTTATATGATCGGAAACATTGGTTGTCTTAGGAAGATAGTTGGCACAAGAGTTAAGTGTAATTATATTTATGCCCGAAAAACAATCTGCTTTTAAAATATCTGGGTGTAATTTTAATTTCATTCTTTTCAATGACAAATCAAAAATTGAAATAGTTTCTGTTAATATTAAATTCCAAGTGGTAAAATCCCTGAATACTGGTAGTTCGAAACGGCGAACAAACTGGTTGCTTGAGATTTTTGTGTTTTTCTTTATAATATGAATACTAGAAATTTTCTGATAAAGTGCTCAATGCATCGATCTCCTTAGGCAGAGAGCCCTAGCGTACTTAAATCTCCTACTGAAATATTATGTAACTACTCTCAGTGTGTTTCAACATAACTAATAAATCAAAATCCGAACGATTAGTTGCACGCTGTACATGAAAACGTTAATGAACTTTCAGAAGATGAATAATTTGAAACAAGAAAAGATTTAATTTTTGCTAAAAGAATGTAAAGTTAATAAAGTGAAACAAAGTAATTTTATATTTTCATAATTAATCAAACAATTTTAATGTACATAATTTCTTGTAGTTATTCATTTTCTCTTTCCCAATCTTTTATAGACTATATTTTACATCTAAAATTACAAAAGCAATTTCACAAGAGATTAATTAAATGATGATTTATCGTTAACTATATATGTTTAAACGTTGTTAAATGCTGTAGGTAGTATTAATTTTTTACTCATTTTCAATTTTTGAGTGCTAAAGTATCTTTTTTGCTTTTCCTAAAAAACTTCGTCATATAATTAAAATATGGAGGTAAAAAATACTCCTCATTCCTTCTGGCTCTCACAAACCATTATGCGAACATACATTCACAACTCATATAACCTCTGAGATGTAATCGTCATGCCACTATCTGTAGTTGCTTTAATGTTTATCACATTATGTTCTACTGTGGTGTTTTAAAACTGCGATGTTTTTACACCGCTTTATTTTCGACAACGGTTTTTGTTATAACCACAATGTCTTAGAATTACGATGTTCTCCTTGCTTTCTTTTCTCCCACGATGTACGACAATATTTTCGTTCTGAATTGTTTTCTCAACTGTATTATTGTCCGCGACGTTTTCTCGCAACATGTTTTTGCCTGAAGCCATTAGAAAATATGTGAATCCATTTAATGTTGGAAGTGCGCCGAAATCTACACGAATATGTTGAAATTCCTTAGAAATTTCATTACATGATTGTGAAGAAACTGGTGTGTTTGGTAAGTTAGCTTTTTGATACAGAAAACACTGCTGTGCCCACTTCGAGACATCATTTTTGATATTTGGCCACACATTTCTAGTAAGAACTGATTTTGACGTTGTTCGAATGTCTGGATGAGCTAAATTATACATTCAATTAAAACACTATTTCTGGAATGTCTTGGAATCTATACCAGCAGATATATCAAGATACAATTATATTTCTGAATTTGGAAGCTGAACCTTTTTATTTGTAAAAAAATTTTAATTTCTTTTAACGCACCATCTGGTGTTTGTACCTTAGCAATTTCTTTAACATTAATAGAACCAAGAATTTTAATTTCAGGAATGCAAGATAATGTGTCAGCAACAATACTATCGGCTCATTTTATGTATTGGATATCAGTTGTGATTTACCAAATAAATCCTAGTTGTCGTGGGTGTTATTTCTAGTCCAAAGTTCTATTTGGGAGAGCTATTTCGGCAGTGTATTCAATTCAATCATAACCTCAATGTAATTTTAATGACTATTTATTTTCACACATCTTTATATTTTACAGTATTTACATGGTAAATGGTGATTATTCACCAGACAGTACATTTTAGTTGTTAACGTCAGATGTTTCGAAATCGTAGTTCGTCTTTTAGCTCCCGCGAGCGGTTCGAATCTAATCTCGTTCCCAGATCTCAATTAGGAAAAAAGAAAGGAAGAATGCTCGCCATCTAGCGGTGCGATACTTCTTTGGCAATATGAAGCAACTCCAATGATGGAACACAGAAAAAACTTTATTTAGCACTCAAATGGCGACATACAAAACAAGAAGAAAAAATCTGATGTGTACACCACATGACTTCCTTGTATTGGAATATTAAATTGAAATATTAAATTATACGCATTTTTTCTTGAATTTCATTTAAACTTATTGGATTGAATTAAATCTACTTTCGCCGACAGCGCATAAACCACAATAGAATAAATGCATTCTTTAAAATCCACTCTAGTATTTGTTTACCATAGCGACACTCTGGCGCTAGATTCACTTAACAGTATTAATAATATATAACATTAACTTATATAATAATTATATAACGGAAACTAAGTTAACTGTTATATAATCCAATAATTTATATAACAGTTTGACTTATATATTTCGTTCATATTATAACTCATAATGCACAAAATTTATATCATTTAAAAGAATAGAATTATCTAATCGTTAGCCACATGTTCTATTCAAATACTATAATAAAGCTAAGAATGATGTATAAAAGAAATTAAGCCAAACAAAACTAAAAAAAGAAAAAAAAACAGTTTTTCACAGACCGATTGAGTATTTTCTCATTTAATTAATTCAGTTTCTCACTTCGCGAGAAGGCAAAATACATAAAAACTCAAAATATCTATATTAAAAATTACGAAGTAATCTTCAAACTCTTATTTCCTCGAAAAAATTTTCCAGAAAGGAATTAAGCATGATTTAATTGACAATAATAAATGAATGCGTTCTCTTTGTTGTTGCCAAGCTAAATTTCTCTAGATTGGCAACAAATCCATTAGTCTCCTGTTTCAAATGTAAACATCAATGGCCGCCATTAAAAAAGGCTTAACGGCAATTAAACAACTTTAAAATTGCTGATAATTCTAAAAATATTGCACACAGATTTACTAAATACATAAAATCCTTAACCGGAATATAAAAACAACATAATTCAATCATTTTTAAAACAAAAAATGTACAATTTATGAACATATAACAGTAAAGAAACTGAAATTACTGAGCCGGGTAACAAAGTGGATATATATATAAATATATTTATATACGTTTGGTGCGGCCGATTGCAACCAAAATACGAGGTGCACATCTGCATGTTATAGCAGTCCTATATACAGAATTTCAACGTTCTGAGGTTCTTCGTTTTTGAGTTATGCGAGATACGTACGTACATACGTTCGTACAAACGCCACAAAAAATTCTCTTCAGAATTAATTTTAAAGCAGTTTTATAATTTTTTTGGAGGAAACGAGTCTTTTATTCTGTCCTTACGTACAGATATGACGCAAAAACATCGTTAAATTGCATTCGATAGCGGTCAAAATGGATATTTTCGTTGAAATATGCTGCCTGAAACTTTTCGCAATTACAATACTTCCTTTTTACTTCGTACAAGGAAGTAAAAAGTATACTAACATTTAAAAAGAATTTACATTCTTCGAGCGTGAGTCGCACGTGGCACTCGAGCCTGGTTTGAAATATTGCCATTCACAAATACCTTAATGTTCATCTATTTAAATTATTTAAACTACAAGATTTTTAATAGTATTTAAAGCTGTTACAGCGGCAACCTTCCCACCTTTTGATTTTACATGGGAAAATCAAAACAAAATTTATCAATAATCAAACAAAAGTTCACAAATATGAAAATTAACTATTGCTCTAAAAATTAACACTTACAAAGGACTATTACACAACTAAACATTTCCTTACCATATCCAGATAACATGTTCCAATTTACTATTGCTAGGACATTTAAACTTCTAATATACTGAAAAGAAACAAAAAATAGTATAATAATTTGAAAATACGTAACAGGTTTTACAGGTTTTACGTCCATATCTAGTTTGATAGTTCATATCACTGTCACATTCACCGACAGAGTTTTTTTCTGTTTATGGTCAAGTCACTAGACAAGTCTATCAAGTTCTAGAGGATACATATGTTTCACAGGTCTTAATAGTTCATTCACCCATTGCAGTTTTCACTTTGACAACACGTACTTCGTTGTCTTTCCCGGATACGTTTCTACAACGCGACCTATAGCCCAGTCTGTTCTTTTCCTTCTGTCGTCCTCTAAAAACACTATATCACATCTCTTGATGGTTTGCGAAGGTAAGGTCTTCGGTCGATGTACTAACAGTCCAAGATGTTCATCTCTAAATCTCTTGCGAAATTCTACAAGTAATTTTTGGTGGTATCGCCATCTTTTCCATAAGTTGATCCAAACTGTCCAGATCCGGAACACCTTCAGTTCGCACATCCTGAATAAACATAGATGGAGTGAGTGCACATAAATTGGTGGAATCTTCTGACTCGTATGTTAATAGTCTGAAGTTGATATTTGCTTCTGCATCACATAGGATATTTAAATTTTTTCATATTAAAATAATGCTTTTACCAGGACTCTTCTCAATAATTTCTTGATCATGTGAACCAGTCTCTCCCACCAGCCGTCCCACCATGCTGCGGTTGGTAGATTTAACTTCCATTGAACTTTCATTGTCGAAGAACGTTTGATAATTTGGTTACAGTCAACAGATCGGAGTAAATTCCTTGTCCCTGCAAAATATGTGCCATTGTCGCTGTATACTACTCTAGGCTGGGCTATGAATCTTCGAAATCCGATGAAGAATCCATTAGTCGATAAGCTTTCAATTAATTCTAAATGAACCGCTCGATAAACTCCACAGGTAAAAAGCAAGATCCAAACTTTTCTATTTTCTTTTAAATAAAGTGGTCCTGCTATATCAACACCTGTCACCTCAAATGCATACGCATCTCTGACTCGATATTCTGGGCGAGGACAAGGCACTGTATCCGGAGCTTTCGCCGAGTGTCTCTTGCACCGAAAGCACTTCGATATGACTCTTTGTATTGTTTTTCTTCCTCTTATTATCCAAAAATTTTTACGAATATTAGTCAAAAGAACTTGAGTACCAGCATGTAAAAGTTGTAAATGGTAGTCTTGTATCATTCTTTATACTAATTCGTGTTTGGATGGAAGTACAATGGGGCACAGGAAGTTTTCATGGTCATGTCTTCTCAAAATCTATATTTTCAATCTTATAATTCCTTCTTTATCTCTGAAAGTAAATTCTCCCTTAACTGTTCTTCATTATAGAATGCTTCCTGTTGAACTATCTTCAATAATTTCCTCTCATCAACGTCTTATTCTTGAACACTCAGGGTTTCGTCATAATTTCTTCCTCCATGTCTACAATTATCCAGCGGTGATATTAGCCAAAGTCGAAATAATGTTCTTCCGCTTTTCTTTCATAATTTCTTCTTCGTTAGTAATCACTTCATTAGTTGGCCACTCTTCATCGTTCTTCATAAGCCATTCTGGCCCTTGCCACCAGCGAGATTTCACAAACCTCTTAATCGAACACTCTCGTGATTATCTATCTTCTGGATTCGAATTTCTTGGAATGTGACGCCATTCAGATTCCGATGATTCCGATGACCAGCGTCATCTCTTTGGATCCAAGAAAGAGCAGTACTCGAATCTGTCCAATAGTTCCTTGGAACGTTGTCTAATTTGAGTGTTTGTAAAGCAAGAACTGCGAGTCTGACTCCTATACAGCAGGTTAATAATTTTAGACTATTTATGGTCATTTTTCTTAATGGACTCGCTCTACTTTTATCTAGAAGAAAATAACACCGATACATTTTTCACTTGTTTCTTTTCTTAAATAAATCACACACACATAGGCTTGTTTACTTGCATCACAGAACGTATGAAGACTAAGACTTTCATTTCCATTTATATCTAAAGCCCTTGGCATTCTAACATTGGATAAAACTGACAAATCATCAAGCCACGAATAGAACTCTTTTCCTATGTCTTCGGGTATATTTGTATTCCAACCAATATTTAACAACCATGTCTTTTGTATGAGTAGTTTAGGCTTTAGCGTTATCGGGCAGAGAAAACCCATGGGGTCGAAAATGCGATGTACCGCAGACAATATATTTCTTCTAGTAAGATTTACTGGTTTGTTAGTAGCAGTCTTCACCTCACAGAAAAGGCTATCATCTTCCTTATCCCATCAAATTCCCAACACAGGAGTAGGTTCTATACTGTCTTCAGATTTCAAAAGAGAAATGTGCTCCCCTCCCTCTCAAATCGAATGACGCAGAATCTAATATTTTTTTCGATTCCTCGATGAATCGCGTAAGTGTTTCTTCATCAGGAACAGATGTGATGCAATTATCTACGTAGAATGATTCTTTTAAATTTTCCGCTATTTCAGGATATTTAGACGAATTTAGATCAATGTGATGGCTTAATACAGCAGCCAGTAAAAAGGGACTGCAATTCAATCCAAAAACAACGCGTTTATATCTAAAAACTCTAAGTTCCTCCTAGTCAAAGTCTTTCCAACATAAAAATCGTAAGAAATCTCGATCACTCTTATTCACTGACATTTGCAAAAATGCCTTATATCTGAAAAAAATGCCTTATATCTTATATTTGAAACAACTCTTATTCTGTTCTTGCGAAATCTTAAAATTATAGGAATAATTTGTTCCAGCAAATTTGGACCCTTTTCTAGGCAATCATTAAGAGAGCGCGAATTTTTGTCTTTACAGGAAGCATCAAATACCGGTCTCAATTTCGTGGTCGAAGTTTCTTTGAATACTCCTTTATGTGGTAAATAGTGACACTGATTATTCATTTCGTGTTCAAGGACTTCCTCTATAATTTCTTCATTTAACCAATTTGTGAAAACATTTTCGTAATCCTCGAATTTGCCTTTTTGTATCAACCGGTGTGTCGTACTGTTTAAACGATGTCTAGCAATATCGAAATTTTTACTTAAACAGCCTTGTTCTATTACCCAAAGGCAACCTGAATCCTCATATCTTCCCTCCTTTAAAGGTAACAGTTTCGTTAAAATGATTCAATGCGGCAAATTTCTCATTTCCTTTCTGACATTTTGTTTCAACAGGGTCTTGAATCCCCAACAAATCTAATTTCTCCAAATTTTCAATCTTCGATGTGTGAATTAATAAAGAAGTCACTGCGTCGGCATTAGTCACATTTTCCTTATCGTCGACATGATCAAACAGTTTTTCCATTAAAATCCAACCCATTTTGGTTTCCATTGTAACTAATGTTGAGTTCAAACGCTCAATTTGGTCTTTTACTAATTTACAATAATTATCAGCTCCAATGAATAAAGATACGTTGTTTTTATCTAAAGATTCGTGATCAACATCCGGTAAAATTATTCCCCTATCTTTTAACAACTTCTTAATATTTTCCAGAGGATAGTCTAGCTCAGCACTCGATATCATCAGTCCTAAAACCCCAATAATGAATTCCTGTTTATCAAAAATGCTTTTTATTTTTACTTGTACTTGTGCACAATTCTGTTTGGTAGGCACTTGAGAACAGAAAGTATGAATCATTATTTCTTCCTTTCCCACGACTTTTCATCCCAGTTGTTTAGACAGACGTTTCTGAATATACGAGCGTTGACTAGCACTGTCAAATAAACAACGAACCAATTTATTGCGTGACTTACTTTTAAGTTCTACTGTTCGCCGTCTGTAAAAATATTGTTATTCTTACCCGATGCTAATGCGATTGCACGCTGAATTTTCTACACACCTCTTGTTTGTGCGATTGCTTCGGGTTTTTTCTCATTTTTGTAACAAAGGATTGCATTATATTTTTTTTGTGGCAGTATACACAAGAGATTTTCTCAGAGCAGTCTGAAAAATCTATGACCTTGAGCCAAACAAATATAACATCTAGCTTGCATTCTTAGCACATTTCGTTTTTCATTTACACTCATATTACACTTTTCACTATTATGTGTGTTATTTTTGCAAAAAATACAATTTTCTTCTTTTACGGGAGCTAATATAATTCTGCCGCCGACGAGGGGTTAACTTTAAACTCATTGTGTATTTATAATTACTTTTGTGTTTGTCGAAGTGTTTATTCTTTGAGTTCAATGGAATGAATTTCGATTGTTAATTGCGGACGTTTGTTCGCGGCATTCAATTTCGTTTTTCAAAAAAGCAATTAAACCTGTAACATCAGATTCCTCTTTTGGATCACGCTTTCGGTTATATTCGAGAATCAAATCATGAGGCAATAATTTCGATAATATCGGATTTAACAAGTGTCCGTACGAACCTGAAGTTACTCATAAATTACTTAAGCTTCGAATGTTTATTTCACAAGCATCGTGTAATCTTCTTAGCGCATTCAAGTTAGAAGAATTTTTAACTGGTTCTATGTCCAAAAGATTATTCATATGTGATTTTATAATTTTCTCTGGTTTTAAAAAGCGTTCTTTTAAAAGTTCTAAGCACGAATCATAATTGTGTTCGGGTAACTGAAATCCTTCAAGGACATTATATGCTTTCCCTGACAATAATGATTTCAAGTATACGAATTTTTCAATGTTGGTTAATGCTTTATTCTGATCAATCGCAGCTTGAAAACTGTTAAAAAATTCTAACCATTTCCTGCATCTCCTGAAAATTTTGGAATATTTAATTTTGGCAATTTCATAACCGATGATGATACATTTATTTCAGAAACAGATGTGTTCAAAGAATTTGCATCTGATTCATTTTTCACAGACAAAATTTCATTACATTTATTCAATCTTATTTTAATTCGAAACTTTGCAGACATAATTTGTTCATTGTATTCATCACTTGCAGAAATATCTTTTTCAAATTCTTTAGCATCTTTTAACTGAGTTTCGATTTGTGCATTCAACATTTTCAAAGTGTTTTCTCTTTCGATAATTGTTTCATTAATCTTCTGCAATTCCTCAATGTTTGTATTTTCGATATTTTCTGACAACAAAGATTCTATTTTTGTAATTAATTTCGTAACGCTACTGCGTTCATTCGCGCGTTTCTGCTTCAGCTTGTCTAAAGCTTTCATGTTTAAAACTGACTAATCACAATATTGAAACTCAGTTTTTATAAAATTTTCAAAGAAAAAAAGGATTGCTTACCTGTTTACAGGTAATCCATCTGCTAATCTTCGAAATTCTAATCCAAAAGTCCCTTGGTGAAGGCACCACTAAAAAATTTTATTTCTAGTCCAAAGTTCTATTTGGGAGAGCTATTTCGGCAGTGTATTCGATTCAATCATAACCTCAATGTAGTTATAATGACTATTTATTTTCAAACATCTTTATATTTTACAGTATTTACATGGTAAATGATGATTATTTCACTGACAGTACATTTTAGTTGTTAACGTCAGAAGTTTCGAAATCGAAGTTCGTCTTTTCGCTCCCGCGAGCGGTTCGAATCTAATCTCGTTCGCAGATCTCAATTAGGGAAAACGAAAGGAAGAATGCTTGCCATCTAGTGGCAAGAATGGAAAAGTGGGGATTATTTTGTAAGTTTTTTTAAAGCAAATATTAGTGGTTTGTGATCTCTAAGTGTTACGCTGTGGGTTTTTAATTAAGAATTAGTTAACTAAGATTGCGTTGTGGCCGAAATAACCCTTAAGAAACATATGAATGAAAGATAAGATATGTGACCTAGGGAAAGAAACATTATATATGGTACTTATCCCAGACACAGTCACACCAGAGGAAAGGTGTTCCAAAATATTACATGTGAAAAATATTTATTTTGTTTTCTCTAAGTATCATTATTTCACTTCAGTAAATATTATTGGAGTACACATTAAATTTGGCAGATCTACAGAAAATACACTAGCTATTGAATACACATACAGAAGCGCCATTTAAATCAATCTTGGAACATCAGCTACAGAAAAAACACGATAAATCGTAGAATCGGAAATAATCACTGAAGAAGCTCAGTTCTACCTCAGACCAAGCTTACTGCAGATGTTATAAGTGAATCAGAATCACGATAATGCTGGTGCAGAACATGCGGTCGACCTTACCACGAGGTGACGATAATTTGCAGACGTATATCGTACATATATCTGTAAAATTTAATTATAACTGCTTGCAGAGA